AAAAAAAAAAAAAAAAAAAAAGTCGCTGGAGTTGCTGAATCTGTCAGGGCCCAGGGTTCACTGAGAAGGAAAGTAGGCAGATTATGCACACAGGGGGCATCAAGGGAAACAAAGTTGTAAGTAACACGTGGGGAGATACACAGACACACAGTAAGGCGCTGGCAGAGCCAGACCCACATACAGAGACCTGCTTTCCCGCCACAGAGGAAGGGAATGTGATCAACAAGCCCACTAAGTACCCAGATCTCCAGGCTTGGGGGGGGATGACAAACCTGTAAGAAATGTAAGAAAAATAGGGGAAACTGCTCAGCCCCGGGATGCCATGCTCGCCTTTTCTTGGAAATAAGCATTTGAATGTGTTTCGTCCTAGGAGCTCAGCTCCCAGGGAAGCACAAAGGGAGCCCTTTCTCATGCAAGGTCCTCGGGCAACCGTCCTCCTTCCCTCCCCCTTCCTGCTATCCACCCACAGGCTGAGGTAGCTTTCATTCCAGAGCCCACGTGGGGATCGCTCTTGTTTTATTTTTGTTTTAGTCTAACTACTTTAAAAAAATAAATAAATTTGGGGGTACAAGTGGGTTTTTGCTACATAGCTAAATTGCATAGTGGAGAAGTCAAGGTTTTCATATACCTGTCACCTGAATCGTGTACATTGTACCCAATAGGTAATTTTTCATCTCGTAGCTCCCTTCTTGTTCAGAGAGCCCTTACAAGTACTGTTGCAGAACCCCAAATTCAGGCTTGAATAACTGATGTACAGCAAAAGGCAAACACTGGGACATGGGTGCTTGCAGATAGAAAAAGGTTCATTCAATTTGCACAAAGCAAGAAGACGGAAGAGCAAAATCACATGTCTTCTCATTGTTTTATTCTTTTATTTTTATTTTATTTTATTTTTTGAGACAGAGTTTCACTTTGTCACCCTCCGTGGAGTAGTCCCAGCTCACACCAACTTCAGTCTTTTGGGCTCAGGTAATCCTCTTGCCCCAGCCTCCTGAGTAGCTGAGACTACAGGTGCCTGGCTACTTTTTTCTTTTTTAGAGTTGGGGTCTCACTCTTGTTCAGGCTGGTCTTGAACTCCTGAGCTCAAGGGATCCATGCGCCTTGGCCTCCCAGAATGCTAGGATTACAGGCCTAAGCCACCGCGCCCAGCCCTCTTGTATTTTTTCTTTTCTTGTATTTTTCTTTTCATTGTTTTGGAGAGCCCTGAAAACCGCCTTAGTATTTCCAAGTTAAACTTCAGGCTTCCTTTTCTTTTCTTTTTTTTAGACAGTCTCAGTTTGTCACCCTTGGTAGAGTGCCAGGGTGTCATAGCTCACAGCACCCTCATTCTCTTGGGCTCAAGCCATCCTCTTGCCTCAGCCTCCTGAGTAGCTGGGACTACAGGCACCTGCCATGATGGCCTGGCTAGTTTTTCTGTTTATAGTAAGGTGGGGTCTCGCTTTTGCTCAGGCTGGTCTCGAACTCCTGAGTTCAAGGCATCCACCTGCCTTGGCCTCCCAGAGTGCTAGGATTACAGGCCTGAGCCACCACGCCTGCCTATAGGCTTCCTCTTAAATCACATCCATCCAGGAGGCAGGTACGTGGATGGGGAGAGGTGGTTTTACCTTTCAAGGGTGGATGAACAAGCACCTTGGCCCATACACCAGCTTCCCAGGACAGAAAGTTCCTGTCCTAAGTATTGTCCAAGTCTGAAACCAGGTAGGAAATATCTAGGAACCTCACCTCTCCTAGTTCCTCAATGATGGGTTCAGGTTGGTTGTTAATAGGGAGGCCAGTCCCCCACAGGCCTCTGCCCTGTATACTGTCCACATGTCAGCTGGAAGGGAGGCAGGGAGGGGCCTGTCCAGTGCTGCTGCTGCTGCTCTCCTCAGGAGGGAACCCTGGTCTTCCAAAAGTTTTCTTTTCCTCCTCCTGCCGGAGGAATGAAAGCTCCCTCTCTCTGGTCTGGAAACGGGTAAATGATGCGGAATTTATGAGCACATTAGCCCCAAGTGCATAAGTCATATGTGCACAAAGGGGCCGGGTAAATATTTAAAGATTAGAGCCAGCTGGGGAGAAACACAAAAGGCTGGGACAATGGGGGTCTCTCTGAATTCACTCTTCCCAAGTGGGGCCAGCCCAGTCGGTGTTGATGCACTCACTGGAGTGCCAGCCTTTGTCCCTTGAAGGGCCCTTGGCTGCCTAGCTAAGTTGAAGCCCCAACACAGCTGAAGAGAGTTAAACAATTGTAGCCTCTCCAACCCCATCTGGAGACAATTGGCTGAGTCATTTCAGAGTTTTTTTTTTTTTTCCTTGAGACAGAATCTCATTTTGACACCCTGGGTAGAGTGCCATGGCATCCTAGTTCACAGCAACCTCAAACTCTTGGGCTCAAGCGATTCTCTTACCTCAGCCTCCCAAGTAGCTGGGACCACAGGCACCCACCACCATCAAACCCGGCCCTTGCCAAAAACTGCAAAGACTCGGGCTCACTCTGCCTCAGGCTAGTCTTGAACCTGTGAGCTCAGGCAATCCACCGGCCTCAGCCTCCCAGAGCACCGGGATTCTTTTTGTCTTAAATTCTCCAGCATAAGAAAGGAGGGGCCTTGATTAGCCATGGAGGGCCTGGAGCCCTCAGGAGTTACAGAGGAAGTTTTTTTCTTCCTTGAATGAGCAGAAGGGGCCTGGGTCTCCCCAGCACTCCTCCTGGACCTGTGCTCCTTTTCAGACTACCTTGGGGACCCCAGATGCTAAAGATGGAAAGGGAGTCAGTGGCCTACATCCCAGCTTGCGTAAGCCCCGCTTCTGAGTTGGTCCATGCCCTTCCCAGTACTTTGAGAGCATTTTGTCCTGCTTGTCCCCAGAGAGGACAGGGTGAACCCACTGCTGCACTCCCTGCCACCTCAGGGAAAAAAAAAAAAAAAAAAAAAAAAAAAAAACTGCCTCCCGGTTTCTGTGAGCTGGTTCTGACCCAGGGTGTGCTAGGATGCCCAGATGCAGGACTTGGGGAGTTGGGGGCCTCTGGGAAGCTGAGGCAGGTGGATTGTTTGAGCTCAGGAGTTCTAGACCAACCTGAGCAAGAGCAAGACCCCATCTCTAAAAATAGCCAAGCGTTGTGGAAAGGGGTGGGGGTGGAACCCGAGCCTTGAGCCTGGGGTTTCCAGGAGGGGTCTTGGTAGAGACCAACCTGTTACCTTCTCCACTGACCTAGCCAGATGCAAAGCCTGATAGCTTTAACTTAGTGGAAGAGAAGCTTGATTAGGTGTAAAGTGGGGATGGCGGGGAGGAAGCTGTCTCAGAGCTCTGGCGAGAAATTGCTCGGGATGTCTTCTGCCCTCGATCCTGGGCTATCCTCGGCAGTTTACGGCCAGGAACCGGCCCAAGTGGCTGTTTGTGGTGGAGCCGCGCGGGTGGGAGGGACAAAATAAGGGGGTTGTCATTCAGATGGGGACACCCCTGTCCGAGGACGGGCCTCGGGACCGGGCGCAAGAGGTGGTGCCGGAGAGGTGGAGGTGGATGTGGGCACAGCAGAGGCAGAGGCGCTTTAAGCGGCCCCGGGCGGAGCGTGGCGCTGAGGATTCCACCCTGGCCGCCGGGCGGGCCTCGCCTCCCGCCGCCAAAGCAGAACATTGCGAATTAGCGCATTTTGCGGTCAATTTTCCACTGCTTAAGAAACACTAAGCCACCCACGTGAGCGGCCCCACCTAGGACTTCCAGGATCCTGGGCACAGGACTTGGGAGGAGTAGCAACCTTGGGGGCGGCGGGTGCCGCGGTGCGGATGGGGGCCCTTTACGGCGGCCTGAACTCTGGAGTCGGGGCGGTCCCGGCGCCCAGCTGCGGACCGCTAGAGCTGCGCTGTGGGCCATTGGTTTGTTAATGCGCCCTCGTTGAAAGGCGCGGGCTGAGGTTTATGGGGGAGGGATTGTAATTAGAGGACAAATTGCCCTGCTGCCAGCGCGGCTCGAGAATGCCGGGGCTGGGGGGACCCGCTGGGGCGAGGCGCGCGCCCAGCCTCGGTGCAGATGTGCAGCAGCTGGAAGCCCGGGCGCTGCAGGACGCCCGGAGTTTGGCCCCGAGGGGGCGGGCGCGGGAGCCGCTTTGTGGGGCCAGCACAATGCTCTTAACACTCGGCTGCCCCCTTTGTGCCCGGCTGCGCCGCCCGCCGGCCCCGCGGCGCCTTTGTACCGCGCCGCCACCGCCCGAAGCCCGGAGCCGGAGGCCTCTCCCGCCCGGCTGGCCCGCCGGGGCGCTTCAAAGCTGCCCGGCGCGTGCCAGCGCTCGCCGCCCGGCCTCGGACCCGCCGCCCGCCTCAGACCCAAATCGGCCCAGATTTGGCCGCAGGCCCTGCAGCCGGGTTGGGAGCGTGCCCCAGAGGTGCTGTTGCTGCTTTTTTGGCCTGAAAGGGGGAGGGCGGAGCGCAATTTTCCACGGTGCTTGGCGCCTGGGAACGCGGCTGCCCTGCCAGGTCTATCCATACCCCGGGCTGGTTGTGTACGAAAGAGCTCCGGCTCCACGGAATCCCTCTGCGACCCAGTAATTTCCCCTCCCCCCACCCCACGCTGAGGCCCTGCGGAGCCAGCCCTTCCTCTGTCCCGGGACTCACTGCATAACTTTTGCAACTTCTCTTTTGGGCTCACAAGCAGTCTTGGGGCTCAGAACTGCATTTCACAACCCCCAAAAGGAGGTGTGTAAGTTTGAACCCAGGGACTTCTCCGGAGGTCAGCCTTCTTGTTAGTCCCAGCTACCAGGAACCAACTTCCTGGGGACCAGCTACTGAGTACTGTCCCAGAGAGCCTCAGGCACCTCCTCGGCTGGATTCCCTGGGCCTCCCACAGCCTGAGAATCGTACTGAGAGGTGGGCTCTGGACCTCCTAAAGCAGGCTGGAGCTCTTGCCATAATATTAGTGGTCTTCCCTATCCCACCACCCAGTGAGTCTGAGAGAAGGCCCAAGGGAGTAGACTCCCAGTCTTTACCCAGGGAGGAAGAGTCCTCCACCTGAGTTGCCCAGCCTGGAAGCTCAGGGATGAGGATCAGGGAGAGGTGGCCTTGCTCACCACCACCACCCCCAGCTAGAAGAATCTGGGTTGAGTCCTAACATTGTCAGCATATGCTAGCTGAGTCCTGTCTGACTTTGGCCAGGAGCATTCCCTGTCCCAAGGTCCTAGCAAGGATGAGGCCAGCTGTGGCCCCACAGACAGGCTGCATGCTTTAATGGGACACATGTTGTTGTGTGGCCCCTGCGGGCTCAACCTGCTTCCTGCTTTGAGTGGCCACAGGCAGAAAATTGCTGCATTGTGCCAACATTAGGGCAAGTAATGTGGAGTCCCAGGGTGGCCAGAGCGTGAAGCTCACAGAAAAGCTTGCTGGCCACTGCTCCTTGACTCCGCATCTTCATCAGTCCCAGGGAGGCCCCATGCCCCATTAGAGCAGTCCACAGCTGGCCCACAGACTTCCCCAGTGAGCAATTCCCAGAATGCTCCTAGACACAGGGCAGCAAGGACTTGGCCAATGGGCTCAGAAGTGAGAACAGACAGACATGGAAGAGGTGGGCATGGGGCAGCACCTGTGGCTCAGTGAGTAGGGCTCCAGCCCCATATACTGAGGGTGGTGGGTTTGAACCCAGCCCTGGCCAAACTGCAACAAAAAAAATAGCCAGGGCTCTGCGCCTGTGGCTCAAGCGGCTAAGGCGCCAGCCACATACACTTAAGGTGGCGGGTTTGAATCCCCAGCCCGGGCCTGCCAAACAACAATGATGGCTGCAACAAAAAAATGGCCAGGCATTGTGGC